CACGATTTGATATGTCCTGAAGGTCACCGGTAACCTATGACCCAGGTCTCAGGACTCCAAATAGCTTTCAACTTTGTGACTGCTTTCCCTCAAACCCATTCCTATCAGCAGTAGAAAGAAGCAGATCTCACTTTAATTCTACCAGGAGGTATTTTAGGGGGTGCCTTTTGTTGAATTAACCCCACAGCTTTCACTGGAAGGTGGGGCCGTGCATTGGTTGGTTGACGGTGGCTGTCTGTCACTCCTTTCACCGGCATCTATTGGGTGATTTCAATCGATGAGGGCTTGGAGCAATGCCTCGAGGATACAGACTGCAATTTTCAGAACCATGTCACAGTTTCTGGGGATTAAGGTGTCTTCTGTTTCAGAGCCCTTAAAGGATTGGGCCCATAGATGAAAGCGTATGTCTTTTCTGGAATCAGTTGACAGTGTAAGAGCAGACCCATGAAAAAAGGCCAAGCATCGAGCTTCTTATCTGGGTCAGGGCTGGGGGGGGGGGGGGGGCTGGAGTCTGTCCTGGGAGGCAGAGGGTGCCAGCGGAATACTGCAGAGAGGACCTGAGCCCATTGCTGGCCACATACACTGAATGGAACACTTTAGAAAAGCCAATTAGCCAACCTGCATATCTTCAGACTGCAGGAGGAAGCCCATGTGGCACAGGGAAAGCATAGTACCTCCACATGCAGGGGGGGCAGGGCTCAGTCTCACCACCTTGGAGGGGTGAGGCAACAGTTCTACCCTGTAACCCACTACCCTCAGGAAAGCACCAACATGAATTTCAAAATATATACATTTTGCAATTAAAGAACTGTGCAGTTGGGACCTTCAAGCTAAAAATTCTGGAATTATATGTAAACTTCACACAAAACATTACTCATATTTTTGTGTCCCACATTAATGAACAATTTGCACATTAGTAGGTGGTCGGCATGGTGACGCAATGGTTAGAGCTGTTCCTTTGGTTGAAGTCTCCACCATGGCTCCATGTGTGTGGAGTTTGCATCTTCTCCCCGTGTCGTTGTGGGGTTTCCTCCAGCTACTCCGGTTTCCCCTCACAGTCCAAAAACATTCCGAGGTGAGTTGGAGTTACTGAATTCTGCGTGTGTGCTCATGTATATATATATATATATATATGTGATAAAGCCTGATCTATTCACATTTGTGAGTGAGAATGTGTGAGTGTGCCTTGCAATGGGTTGGCGCCCCATCCTGGTTTTTCCCTGCCTTGCGCCCGTAGCCTCCAGGATAGGCTCCGGACTCCCCGCAACCCTGAATAGGACAAGAGGGTTCAGAAAATGAATCAATGGACATTAGTATGCTTTTATTATTTATAAGTGTGTCAACATTTTATTGAGAAAATTGATACAATTATCCTGCAGTAATAACATTTGTATTTGAAACATTTCCTCTACAACAAATTACTGTTATACTGTTATTTTTACCTTTTCCTCTCACTGCAAATCTGGGAAGATGTGGCAATCACCCGACTCTCGTCAAAATTCTCATTTTCCAGGAACCAGCCTATATCTACATCACTAGCTGTGTGTGTGACAGCGCACTGGAGGTGATGTATATTGTAGAGCCCTCACTGTGCCCTTCTGGTGATAAATGCACAGACTTATGAGTACAGCATAGAGAGAAAAAAAATAAAAGGACCGCAATATTTACGATGATGGAAATTGTGCTGGGGAGTGTTTCCTGACTGTCTCAGCGGTCCAACTGCAATGTGCTGGGGAGTGTTTCCTGACTGTCTCAGTGGTCCAACTGCAATAGCATTTGATGGGACTTGAATTTGGGCTTTGCGAACTCCAGTGTCACTGGCATGTATCTTCTGGCTTGACAGGGTAATATGCATAAGATTTAAAGACAAGCTTTCTTGCTTGCATCAGGCGAGAAATCTATCTGAACGGCTGAAAGGAATGTAAGTAGATGGTCCAGAAGTTTCTGAATGTGTACACACTGGCCTGGTGCCACCTGAAAACACCTGTCCACTATTCCGAATAATGAAGTATTTTATATTCTGGGCCGGAGGTGAGTATGTGTGCCTGTCGCTGTGTATTTATGTGGGAATTTAACCCGTGGGACTCCCCAGTGCACGTAAAACCGCCACCCTAATTTCCTGTTTACTCCTGTTTCTTATTCACCCCCTGACTGTCACATCAAAGGTGTTTCATTCCGCCGCTGTACCAGATGTTTCTATCCTACGTTGGTCCTTCCAGAAAAACACTGACAAGTTCCTGACACTCAAAGTCAAAAACATTTTTACTCTTTGATCAAAACTATCTTCATAGACATCTTCTGCTGTGTTCTGCTGTGATTGAATCTGCTTTCCTACATAACCCTGTCACTGATCTAAAATATTATTTTATAATACAGCTAGAAAGTATTACAGTAACGTATTTCGGGGTGAGTTTCCCAAAGCTTTCTCAACGATACGCCGTTCGTAAGTTCTATGTTTAAAGATTGAACTTACGACCGACGAGGCGTTAAGAAGGTTTTGGGAAACTCACCCATGATATTTATCTCATGCATGTTAATGGGGATGTTGTATGTAATAGTCTGGAATTCTCAGGGATTGGCTATCAGTCTTTTGTTTCTGTTTTATTCAGATGGTCGGTAGTGTGAAGCAACATCGCATGTGATTCTCTATAATGTTTTCAGGTTATAACTGTGTGCCTGTTTAGAGGGATCTCAAGTTTTTATAATACAGTTTGATTCAATTGAATTGTGTTTGATTAATAGAGTCTGATTCAATTTAATTGATTCAATTAAACATAGAAATCATTTGCATTCTTAATGCCGATTGCCAGAAAACAAGCCTAGTAATTAAATTTTTGTTGACTTTATATGTAATTTTACATTATAGTATAATGATTGAGAGGCTTAATGCCCATCGTGAGCACCCTAGCTGCTCATACATGCTAACAAATGGCAGGAATCTGGCTATAGCACAATGCACAGATTGCTGTGGATTGTTGCTATTAATAATGACCAGCTGTTGCTGGATACACTGCCATCCCTTTATGTCTGCATGTGTGTCCGGTGATCCTGTCTAGGACGTTCCTCTACCTTGAGCCCTTTGCTACCTGGGCCACGCTCCAGTATCACTTTGTTCCCATATGGAATAAATGCTTATAGAGGATGGATGGATGGATGGACAGATGGACTCGTCTGGGGCTTTTTGCCCATCAGCTTCCCAAGCTTCCTGCATCCTCATCCAGGATAATGTGTCAACAAAACAGACCCCGTGCAAACATTCTGGGTTTTTCAAAAAGTAATTAAAAAGATTTTCAATCTGATTTGTATTCTCATGCTTGCTCTGAATGCACGAGTAAACAGAAAATGTGTGAAATGCCCCAAAATACAGAGATTGTCTATTTAAATAAAATTATGCTTTTGACTTTGTTGACAGTCAGCTGTATCTTGTGCATTTTTCTTTTCCCATATATGTTCTGTAATGTTAAAAAATATGAACGTATACTTTAAGAGATTAACTCGACAACCAGATATTTGTGTGTCTTGCTTATATGAGATGCTGCACACTACTGATATGATGCATTTAAATTCTTCCTGCTGATTCTATTGATTAATTTAAGAACAACGTATTTCCAAAAATGTAAGCAGCATTTTCTGTACTCCTCCGCCATGCAACACGCTTGTTGCATCGAAACAACATTATTACATTTCATAGGAATCTTGATCAATTTAGGAAGTGCACAGCGCTGACGATCAATGCGGTAACTGGTGTTGAAATTCCAGCCGCGTGGGTTGACCTGAGGCAAAAAGGGGTTTTTATGGACTTGTATGGTTGTGAAATATATAATATGCCGACCTTTGACCACCCAATGGAATATCCAGTCTAATCTCACAATCCTCAGATGCCCAGCTTAACACTCGTGTTATTTTGATCTTATTTAGTCTCTCGGCTATTGCACTCATGCATCTGAAAGGCTAACAAACTCCCCCCGCCTCCCCTGCAGGTGTCCTCTGGTTGTCTGTGGTGTCTGAGGTCTTGTACATCATGCTGCTGGTCGTCGGCTTCAGCCTTATGTGCCTGGAGCTTTTTCACTCCAGCGACGTGATAGATGGACTCAAGCTGAACGCCTTCGCCGCCGTCTTCACTGTTCTGTCAGGTATGCGCTCAGAAGATCCCTCTGAATCTTTCCATTCCATGAGAAACTACAGTGGCGTACAGCTCCTGTTAGGGGTTTTGAGTGGGGACGCAGGATAACAAAGTACCTCTGGCTTCCCTGCCTTTTTTCAATTCCCTCTTCTGGGACCAGTATTTCTCCTCCGGGAGCTACGATGAATATTGAATACAGCAGCTGTGGGACCCAAGCGTTAGTAGGATCAGACCTAATATTTCCTGGGAATGCATCCCTTTAGCTGAACTGCATGCTAGAACTCGGAATGTAGCCACACACACAAAAGTGATTATTTGACCACCTTACTGCTATAATGATGAGTAGATGATAAGTCTAACAATGATTTCATGCTTTACAAGACATTACATATATATAGAGAGACGCTCCTGGGGTTACGAAGGGGTTACGTTCCGATAAACCTATTGTAAGGCGAAAATAACGTAAGGTGAAAATGCATTTTAATGTAGTACACCTAGCCTAACAAACATTATAGCTTAGCCTACCTTAAACATGCTTAGACGTTTACATTACCCTACAGTTGGGCACAGTCATTAACACATAGCCTATTCTGTAATACTGTTGAAAACTGTTGAATATCTCATGTAATATAGGAAATAATCATACCCATCGTAAAGTCGAAATATCGTAACATGGACCATCGTAAGCAGGGGACCGTCTGTATATTCAGAAATGCCTTAATGCCCAGAGGCTTCCGCTACAAAGGGGCCTCAACCAACCTCATTCAATAAAATTATAAGCCCGGAGTTTCCACCCGTCGCATCTTTTACAGGATTATATAAAATCATGTACAGGTCAAAATAAAATTACTCCCAGACCATGTAAGCACTGCTCCGTAACATTTTGTAGATTTTATCATCAGATGCATCCCAGCCCCTCATGTCACCATCACAGAAAATAGTAGGACACCTTCTGACAAATCAAACTCAAAATGCGCTTCTGTATGTATTCAAAGCTTCAAATTTTGAGGCTATTAGTGGAAACAATGAATTAAACACAAAAACATTCCCAGTTTTCTTTAGAGCATTCAGTTAGGGCTGAGTTACCCATCCGTTTATACGTCCACCTTGCAACCACTTGCCCAATACAAGGTGGCAGGAAAACACAGTGATACACTAGGTAACAGACTGATGTTTGGGTTAGGGTTGTGTATGATTCTTGTCTTTCTAGAGTACAATTTGCTATAACCAAAATAGACACAAATCACTAAAAGTAACATAAGGTAAATTGCGTAATGTAACATTGGTGTTAGTATATTTTTGGTTGACTGTCAAGTTGTAGCTATGACAGGCAAAATAACTGCCAATGGTTTTCATACGTGACCCTGAGAATGAGGCAATGTTAATTACTGAGGCACATTTAAGGGGAGACAACTGCTCTCGGTATACTTTATTGTTTACTTCATTTTGGAATTTCTCTATATATGGGCATAACATCTGTTCTATTTGTAAAGTTTTAAAAAAGTAGCTGGTGAAAAAACACAGAAGGCAACGGAGTAGAGGAAGCGCTGTGGTATTTATAGGACGTGAAAACCTGTGGGGGTCCAAATCCGATTGGCTGTACAGCACCTTTGCACACGTGCACCGCAGGGCCTTATTTCAGATCTCTCTTATGACAGCCACTGATGATCTGCAAGTCAGCCCGGAGTACATCAGGCCTTTCGCCTGGAGCTCCGCCCCTAGTGTACTGACTCGAGGCTCCGAGGCACAGAAGCTCCGCAAGTATTATTTAGTATTATTTAGCAGGTGAGAATATAATAATAATAATAATAGTAATAATAATGATAACAAGAATAATAAGAATAATAATAAATCTTAGATTTTGATATCCCATCCTAGCATGCATCACATTGGCTGCACACCATTCTATGAATTGCAAGCCCTCTAACTGAAATGCTAACTGACAGGGTGTTTTATAAATGTATCTTTAAATTAATAAATTAGGGAGGCCTGCACCCCGCAGTCAGACAGTGCATTCTGGATCATCATTCTTGACATTCATGAGATTTTTACGTCCTGTCCCAAGTGTAAGCCAGTGAAATGACATGAGACCGACTATATTGTGGATCATGTTTTTTTTGTTTTTTACTTATGGGTAGGATTCCTACAGAGGCGCCGAGAATTTGTTATGGGCAGAGAGCGCGCGGCTCGTACTCCCTGTGAGAAAGGCATCACAGTGGTTCACTCTGCGCTTACACAAACACATGTTGAAACATCACCTTCACAGTGTTCTATAAGCAGAACCCAGGAAGGGCACTAATGTGACTGTTAAAGGAGAGATCTGTGTCAGTAATGACACGTAAGTCTCAAGCTGACGTGGTGCTGAGAAGGGATTATGGTGTCCTCGTAAAAGTGAGGGAACATTCAATGACAAAAAAACAAAAGAAAGCTAAAAATATTTCTTTACTCTGCAGTTTGTTATGTAACCTGGGAAGGTTGTGCCTTATAGTTTTGGCTAAAGCAAGTAAACCAAGCTATTGGCAATTCAAAAAAACTGCTGGTCCTTTTTTGAGATTATTTACTATGCCATATCATTGTTCTTTTCACGTTTAATTCTTCCTAACCCCCCTACTAGCGATCCATCAGGGTATTTTATAACCAAGAGTTGAGGGACCATTTAAAATCCAAAAAAGGCAAGATTTTATTTAGTGAAATCCTACAAACATAAACTGTGACACTGTGAATTTGTTATACGAAATAGCTTTTCTCCGTACCAAATGAGATATAGATTTTATGTTGCAGAGCTTTAAAAAATATTCCAGATATATCTTAGCCTGTTTAAAAAAGGATGTGTCATCTATCAGCACATTTGTTATTCAGCAGAGCACACTCTTCTGTCTTAGAAAAGCCAGATGTAATCAGTGACATAACTTCTCCTTATGTTACATGTTTATGCTGCAGTCTCTCATTACTACATCCTAGTTCCCGTATAACAGTTCTCACACAGTAGTTGAACAGTGGTAAGTCTGTCACACTGTCACACTGAATAAACTTTTGGCCTGACTTTCTGTCCAGTTTGATATCAGATTCAGCTCTCTGTAAACTGTCACACCCCAGCTGGGTGCATTGTGGTCAGGGCAGGTCCTTCTGTGTCAAGTGGACTGAGTTCTTCACACACTAAGGGACTCACAGCTTTGCTCGTCAAAGGTCGTCTTTACAGGAAGCAGATGCATCTCTTACTGCTGAGAAATGGCAGCCATATAGTAAAGTAGTATTTTTCAGTCAATTGCTTGACTAGTTTTCAATGTGTAAATCATAGCCTTTGTCCTGAAATAATAAATTGGGCAAACTCTCCTAATATGTCCATTTAAAACTCTTTCATTTTGATACAAAAAAATGTCTGATATGATTTTGACATATTACTCCGGAGTGTTTCAGTTGCTGATGTCATTCATCAATAATTGCTGGTGATTTCTTAGTTTATGTTTCTGGTACAGCCACATTCACTTTGCCAGTGGTGAGAGATACATTATTCTGCATAGTGATGACTAACTTGCAGTTTGAGCACAAAAAGTGATTATTTTGATATTCTTACTCAAAATCATTTCTTCTTCAGAAAGCAGATAATCACACCCCGAGTCTTCAAAGAACACAAAGTGGATATCTGAGGTCATTGTGGACAATGCCACATTATAACTGAATTATAGGACTCAATTATAAAATTGTAAATTTAACCTTGTAGATTAAAAAGTTGTAAATGGAGTCCTTGTGTTCTTTTCAAAAGATTTTCAGCATATGTGTTGATTATAGTTGAAGATTGATTATTACTTACAACCTGCGGTGCAACTTAGTCTAGAACCCATCAGAATGCATTACTAGAGCACTCCCTTGGCAATGAATCAATTTCATGTCTTAGCAGAACATGATAGAAATACTGCTTTGCCTTCCACGGAAATTCTCCAGGGAAGCACTGGGATTTGCTCCTCAGTGCCATCAGATCAACGATCACATTGTGCCTTGTCTAAACCAATCCGATTTAGGCTGGTATCTGCCACCATTGCTGGAGAGCGTGTGTGGTGTGAATGAATCTTTCACAACTGGCACCTATTATGTTGGCATCCTTGTTGTCTGGATGCACTGCTGTTGATTGAACTACAAAAATGACACACGTTAGAACTCTTGAGGTACCCGAAAGAAGGACCAGATATGATTAACCTGATTATTAACTACTCGGCGTTTGTCCCATGAATGCCTAAAATAAACCATCAGATTCCACCTATGCCACCAGTGAGAGTTTACTAAGCAATGCCAGCATATCACATAGGATGATGAATCAATCATACAACTTCAAAGGAGGTCTTGTTGATCTTTGTACACAACAAAGGCATCACTGTAGCGGAACTGATGTGATTGAAATTCAACCAGATATACTTTGTTGTGAAAAACCTGGATCTGCGTAATAGCCAGCAGATTCATAGGACATGCAGATTGGCAGCCTCAGGATGCATGGTGAAGTCTCTCCCCCTCTTTAAGACACAGTGAACCTGGGTCATACTTAGAACATTTTATTACAGGTGTGAAGAAGGGCAAACCTCTACCCTCACCTGACATATCCACACCCTACATATGTTTTACATTTATGCATATGAATGAGGTAAGTATTGAAACATCTCATCATTCCCATCTTATATCCCTGTAGGATACCTTAATCCCCTTTTCTTTTGCAGAATATTCTGGAATATATGTTCTGAACTTTGCTCAATTTGACATACAGGTTTAGTGTAGCACAAGCATTAACAAGGTATCTGATTTGACACGTAGAACCTGGAGAGGATGCCTGGTGTCATTTAAGTTCAGTTTGCTGACTTCTCTTCCAGAAATTCATGCATTTATTCATATTGTTTTCCAGGACTCTTGGGAATGGTGGCCCATATGATGTACACGCAAGTCTTTCAAGTCACAGTTAGCCTCGGACCAGAAGACTGGAGGCCACACAGCTGGGACTATGGCTGGTCTTTCTGGTCAGTTCTGGTCAGACTCACTTGCAGCATGCCATCCGCTGTAGATCAATAACATGCTGGATATCTTATTCACATGTATATTCAACTGATGGAAACTTCTACAGTAGCACTCACTAGGTAGATGATTTTACCCACAAGGAAACATTATAAGACTCTCTGGTCTCTTTTCGTTAGGTGAGGAAGAACTTTGATCAAGGAAGCCTTTGCAGGCAATTGGAGAGTCCAGGTGTATAACCCCACATGATTTGGACCAGGTTCTTGAGAATTATGCATTTTCAACCATGTTTTTGATTGCTCCAGTTTGAATAAGAGCACGATTTGCAAAGTAAAAATGAGAAAATGGTGCTTTTACAGTTACACCTCACAGTAAATGAAAACTAAAAACATACAAATGGATGTCATCTTTTGTTGTTTGCTTAATAGCTGAACTTATTATTAGTCTATGTTTCAGAATGGCAAAGGTTATTATTATTATTATTATTATTATTATTAACCATACTGATAGCTCTATTGCTAATAATACCTATATATTTTTTATTTATACAATGTTTTACAGTGCATAGAATATATATTCTAATACATTAATGGAGGTAAAAACATAGGAAGTTAAACAATAAAGAACAATAAAAGAGCAAATAAAAATCGTAAAAAAAGACATTTCAGCTTCAGTACATAAACATTCTCACTGCATAAATAATAATGAATCATCACAGCCATAACCATAATAAACTTTGTAGTAATCTGAAAAAGGATTTATTATAGATACAATGAAAACCAAACAGTCTGATTTAAAAGTGTATTGATGTTAATTCACATTAACTCTAAATGCCACAGTACAGTAAATGTACATTAATTGTATTACAGCAGGCGCTTTGCACTAATGTTTCTGCTTTCCTTTCAACCATTTTAAAGAATTTGGGTGAGTTTGATTAAATAAATATTGAGTTCCGGAGCAGATGTTGTTTGCATACAGCTCCAATCATATCTAAATGAAATGTTGTTGTACTGTACAGGTATTTTAGGATTTATCAAGTGCAGAGACATTTTTAAGTAAGTAAATTTCTGTCGGGCACATCACAGACAACTGATGGAACTCCTTTATTTTGTCCTTCCCTTAGTTTGGCCTGGGGCTCCTTCACCTGCTGCATGGCGGCCTCCGTCACCACCCTCAACTCCTACACAAAGACCGTCATGGAGTTCAGGCACAAGCACAAGCTGTATGAGCATGGCATCCATGAGGAGCAGGCCGTTGTCGAGCCAGAGCCTTTCAGCTACTTCCAGGAGAGGCCGGTCCAGTCTGTCTCCAGTGCCGTGGAGGTTTTCCAGCAGCAAGCCAGCGGTGGCGTAAGACTGCTGGCATCCACAGTAGCGGCAGATGTCGGGGAGATCCCAGAGTCTCTGAGTGAAGAGCAGTGCTGAGAGAGCAGGACCTCACCCATCTCCATGAGAGTAGAGCTGGCTGGAGACCTTTAGTTTTCAAAGACTCCTGAGCATTTATATCTGTGAATCATATCGGTCTATCCTCTTTGAATAAAAATGTGTATTTTTAAAGCTTTTACTTTACTATTCTTAGCACTAGTAGTAATATGAGAAGGTACAGCATAATAAAATGTGTGGATTGTAAATGAAGACTGGAAAAGGTCACAGGCCCTCATTACCGGAAATATTGCTATGTTTACAAAAGCATTGTTTACAGGATGTGTGGGTGCTGTGATGATTTGATAAGATATGGTATCACTGCCATAAAGCCGTAATCATATTTAATTTAATTTTAATTTATATTGTGGTTAGGCTTCTGACACGTGCGGTTTCGGGAAAAGTGTTTCGATGTATTGGTATGTAGGTAATATACTACGCATTTAAAGGCATATATGAATTATAATATATAATATATTCCGTATTGTTGCTGTAGCTATTTTTATATGGCATGTTTAAATATGCCCTGATATATATATTTTGAATTTACACATTCACTTTAAACAACACCTTAAGTTATGTTGATCTCAACTAAAGAGTAATTCTTACTGTTAGAATCTTGTCGCTGGGATTTCCAAAACAGGAGTTTATGTGCCCCGATAAAATTACCCTAAATGACAGTGAGTAGTTTGAATTCTTTATTTTTTTTATATTAATTCCCTGGTCATGCATTTGAATAAATCAGCAGAGATTTGAAAATTATAAGGTGTTATATTAAAAACATATTGTATGTTGGTCATCCTCTGTAAAAAAAGCATATAATTGATAAAATATCCATTACAAATATATAAAATAATATAACAATGTATTCCGTTATTTACAGATAGTTTTAAATGTTTAACTGTTCCTGTCAGTTTAAAAAGTGGAGTTAATTTTGCGTTATTTTTAAAACAGTTACTTTAAAAAAAGTTACTTTGAAAAGATTTCACTATTCACTTTCACTGGTTTATTAGTTAAGCTCCTGTCAAATGGCAAAAAGCACAGATAGCAATGCATTCCTGCCTTTTAGCTTCAATTAGTGTCTCTGTTTACTTGCATGGTGATTTGGGGTTAGAGTGATGATTAACTGGCACCGCATGGAAGGTGGGTCCTGCCCTGTGCAGCTAGAGATGGGCTCTAGAGTGATGATTAACTGGCACCGCATGGAAGGTGGGTCCTGCCCTGTGCAGGTAGAGATGGGCTCCAGGCTCATCACGACCCACTACTGGAACAGGGGTGTTGGAAGATGGGTGCCGATATTTCACCAGAACTTTCCATGCCTGTGTGTGCCTGTGGGTAGCGCTTTTGAATTGGAAGCTGGTCCTTACATGAAGCTGTACTGATCAGCTTCCTCCCATTTCCCTAACAAAGTACTAGCTCATTTATTGAGTGTAGTTTCTGCTTCTTGAAATATGGTGCAGGAGTCTTAGTTCTCAGCTTTCTAGATGATTCTGTTTAGAAGTTCGATCTATTCTGAAACCTTTTGATTTGCCACCGGGTTTGTTGGATAGAGATCGTATGAGAGCTCTTTTTGTCTCTGTATGCGGGGGGGGGGTGTTTGGGAATGGAGACTCTCGCTGGTATGGCTCAGAAGGTGGATGACAAGACCTCAGTATAACATTCCTATTTTGATACTTTGATATTTCAAAAGTAAGGCTCTGAAATGAGCTGACGCGGCGGTAGGCAAGTCTGCAATTCTTATTCAACATCATCTTCATGCTCCAATAAAGTTTTTTAAATGGATAATCACTGACTGGGAGGAACTTTTTACAGATGTTAAATCATTGTGGCTTTTCCCATTAGTAGCTGTAGACTGCAGATTTTCACAGAAGTGACCTTGTTTGTGTTTGGTTTATTATGATGGTCAAACTTGCTCTGTGCAATGCCTGTTCTCTGAAGAACGAGGATTTTAATGCATTTGCTCATACCTGTGGAGACTTGCAGTTCTTTGCTTGCTTTGCATGTGGCAAACTATGGGCCCTCCGGGGAGATGTTCAGTTCGGTGTTGTGTATCTCATTTTCGGGATTTTCCTCACACTGAAGAAGGCTACCCAGCGAAATTGTGCTTGTCCCCAACCTTATTGTCAAACTGTAGCAGCCTATCACTCTAGGTAAGTTCATGTTTCAAGATGGTGTCCTAAACAGGAACATTTTTGCTTTGATTAATTATGTGGATTTAAAGTTTATTTTTGGATGTTGTGCTGACTTTGTATGCTTGATGTTGTTTGATGTTCTTCACATTTATGTTAATTTTTATGAAGTATTATTTGTATCGTGGGCCACTGTTTTCTCTGTATTTAATGTGTTGCAATGTCACCGTTTTCACGTTTCAGTTTTCATGCGTCCTGTGGCAGCACGTAGGGTCAGTGAGTATCACTATGGTCTGACCATTTTGGTGCACTATATTTTGACAAACAAGGTTCTTAAAAGTCTATCATAATTTCATTTCAGTCGCATGTTTTTCCATCCACTGATGCTGTGTGTATTTTCTGCTTCTATTTTTCACTCCAGTTAATGGCTATGGCAGTGGGTAATCTTTACAAAACTCACACAAAGATCACATGGAGGCAGTTTTAGATGGAAATTGAGAACAGATAATGAGGGTTCCTCAAATCCCACGACCCTTCTGCAAATGAGGTGTATATAAAGAAAATGCAAAATTCTGCAGCAAAAGAAAAAGTGATTCTATTAATGACTGGCATTGACATGTGATTTGAAATAAAAAACATTTCACAGGACCTTGGGATTCAGAGTCAACGCAAAACCTTTCCTCTTTCCTTTACAATAAGAACAAAACTTGAGGTCCAGAGCATCTGATGGTAATTCCTTTGAGCACCTATTCAATGCACCTTTGAATAGGTGACTTTATCTCCTAACTATAGACAAAAACGAAAAAGGACCTTGTGCTGTCCTTAACGTTTTCCTAAGGGTTCCTGAAATCGTCTTTAATCATGCATACCATTTGATTTTTGCTTATGTCACAACAACAGGGCAGTGTTACAGAAAATCAAACTTCATTAACCAGGTCCTGAACATGCAGTCCCAGGTCGAGTGATACACCCCACACTACCCACACCCAGAGGGCCAGCTTGTCTGCCTGTCAGACCTTTCCTCTGCAGCTGCTGAGCTCCGAGTTCTTCGTGATGACAGGACTCGGGCTGCTCGCTGCGAGGTACATGGTTGATGTGACTAAGTGAGACCCGAATGCCAAGTTACAATGAATATCACTGAAGACGGGGAGTAAACCAGGTTGGACAATCAGCTAACAGGATCCAAGAGATAAACCATACAGCGGAGAACAATGTAAACCGACGAACCGACGCAGAATCAGAAAGTCAGAATGGGAGCTCTCAAGTCTGAGCTGGTACAAGAAGACGTGAAGACCACGCAAGGAAATGTTAACCAGGCAGAGTTTAATATTGGGGGGACACAACAACTATTTAAATGCAGGGTCTGTTCATTGGGGAGGGGGCAAGGAAGCCAAATTAAACATTAGAGGTACACCTTCCCCTGGTTCCTAAGCCCTCTGTTGAGGGTGAATGCAGAGAAATGACCTGGAGTGACTTTTTTTTGGGGCCGGTATCTCACAACTGGCCCTGCAGGATGGCAGCGCGCGTGACGGTGTCATATGTCTGGCCAGCTTCCCCTTCTTTGCTTAGATAAAAGGCGGCTCTCCTGCCATCACGCACTCCAGTGTCGAGGCTGCCATCTGCTCCCACGTCTGCCTGTGCTGCTATAGAAGCATCATAAAACGTGCATTTGCACAAAAAAGAAAGCAGTGTTGATTTGAAACATCACAGGCCACTGGCTACCGCAGGTTTTTTTTTATTTTATTTAATTTTAGTTTAAATATGGCGGCGACTGGAGGTTAGATGTAGCTCATATATCCTCAGCTGTCCCCAAAGGAAATGCCTATTTCAAATTTTTGGGTACAAATAAAAGTACATTTAATTATACTGTGCTTTATTCTGCAGATAAAACTTCTTTTACTATTTTAGTGACATGGTCGTTGGTGGTTTAGGGAATATGTAGTAGGCCTATTTGCGAAAGCAGGATGTGGGTTCAAGTCCCAGAAGTGAGACTGCTGTATCTTTCTCTAAAAAACACAGCTGGGCAGAAAGGTAGAGATAGTGGTAACTTTAAATACAAGAAAATGTAATGAAGAAATAATACTCACATTTCAACCAAAAGCAAGTAAACGAATAAGGGCAGTAATGACCTCTGCAGGTGCATTTTATTATTAAGGTTTTATTGACAACCTGACTGGTTAATTTGCCCCAATGAAAAAACGTCTTTCTCTGATGGTGTTGGAATCGATGGGAGCTGTCCACTTCACACATTAGTGTTCATACACACATATCCATGATGTCACATCTGCAGGGCAGTTTTTTCACCTTGGGGCTATTGGTGCAAACTTCTTAGCCAAAATTCAAAGATGCCAAAACCACATGGGGATCCTTCAGCCAGCCGGGGCAAGAAGATGCAAGTACATGCTGGCTGAGAGTCCACCACATCACCCCAGTGTCACCAAGTCAGGAACAAACACATTTTCACAAACTTCTGATTTGTGTTGTTAAAGAAAGACTATCAGCCCTACAGATCCCAGACAGGAATAACTGTGAATCAATGAGAATTTAAATAAATCATCCCATGGCATTTTTTAAGCCATAGGCTTTACTCTGCTTCTAACTTGGAGGGTCTACTGGGAAAAGCAGGTCATTTCAAGACTAGAACTGTAAACCCAAAAATGAAGTTCAAGCGAACGCAGCTGGTCCTAGAATAATCAGTAAAAAACATGTCATTTTCTTTTATTATTTCATTTCATACAAGCGATTCATTGCTGTCATTTTTATTAAACCAAGAAGGTAGGAAGATGCATACAAAGGTTAGACTAAGTCTCAGTATATTAAAAAATGTAATGTGAGGAAAAATGATCACAGCTACCAAAATAAGAAAATGTATCCCAGCATGCATCTGAGGTGGACTCGCTGAGGTGGCCCCAAAGGAAATTCAGTATCATTTTCTAACACAGTGTTTTTCAACCTAGTCCTTGAAGACCACATTTTTGCTTCCTCCCAGCTGCCTGCCAGACAATC